TATAATTATATAGCTATCTTCATGTTATTAATAAACAATATTCTTCAAATTCTTTGATCTTTATTTTATAAGTATAATTAAGTATTTATTTTATAAATACTATTACGTAATATTTATATATTTTAAGAATCAAATCTTTTAATTATACTCATATCCTATTATTTCTAATAATTTTGGATTATCAAAAAATTTCCTGGCAGTATTATCATTAATTATAAATGACATATCACAGATTTGATACATTCAATGATTTATTAAATTTTTCATTAAAAATAATTATATTTAGATCTGACTTATTATTTTTAATAATTCTGGATTATTAAAAAATTTTCTAGCGGTATTTTCATTAATTGTAAATGACATATCATGGATTTGATATATTTATAATTTATATGGATTTGATATTGGTTTCGTCGCGGTGTTGACGTTGGTCGTATTCGACCTATTTCATCAGACGATGGCTTTTTTGGAACTCGTGTCCCAACTCAATTTGTCTGTGACCGTGTCCGAAGATCGGAGTACGGTTTACAATGTGTTACTGCCCGAAGACGTAATCAGTAGTGAGTATTAGCCAGGAAGAAAGTCGCTCAGGTGGATTCTCTTCCTGGCTGATTGGGAGTGTCCCAATTATGAGTGGGGAAAATATCGGTGCCGCAATTGGGGTACCGATATCACCCGATGTGCAATGTAGGTCCAGGGTGGGCGGACAGATGTTTGGATCCAGAACATTCGACAGTCGAGACGAATGTTTTGGGTAACCCAAGCAAAAACCTCAGCTGTTTTTGCTCGGATTACCGACACCTCACCGCGCGGTCGCCGGGGAACCCGTAACCGAAACCTTTTGGACTGTTCTGTTTATAGGTCGCGACAATGCTCGCGACCATTCCGCCCGCCTTGAACCACTCGCGTTCAATTCTTCGTGTGGTTGATCTGGTTCGGTTGTTCATTGTGGCTGGGAGGCGCTAGGTCATCCATAGGTAATAGACAGACCTTGGCCACTGATCTGGTGAGGGTGCCAGTGTTAGGTGACGTCAGGATGGATTATATAATAATAGGACGTCCTGTGAGGAAGTGTCCTGGAGTCAGGGGATCGAGGTCTCGTGGATCCGACGATAGAGGATGCAGCGGTTTGGAGTTCATGCATGCCTCGATATGGACCAGCACGGTGCTGAACTCCTCATAAGTGAGACGTGTTTCTGCAATTATCGGCAGAAGGTGTCTCTTGGCAGATCTAACTGTAGTTTCCCACAACCCCCCGAAGTGTGGTGCATGTGGGGGCATAAATCGCCATTTGACACCCTTCGCGATCGCATGGTGACCGATCGACTTCCCATTCCGGTGAAGGAACTCGCGGATCCGCCGTAGTTCATTATACGCCCACGAAATTAGTATCGTTGTCCGAGCAGATCTCTCGGCATCGATCCCGGCGCGAGAGGAACTTGCTCAGACAGTTCAAGAACGCTTCTGTCGTTAGTGCCGTAATCGCCTCCAAGTGAACCGTCTTGGTGACCAGGCACGAAGACGCACAAATAGACCTTAGATATACTCTTACTTCGAGACCGTTCCTTGATGAGGAATGGTCCAGCGTAATCTACCCCCGTACTAAAAAAGGGTGCTTGTACCCGTACTCTTGCCGCTGGTAATTGGCCCATTTGGTAGTCTTCGGTAGCTTCGCGGCAAGCACTGCGGGACTCACCAGTCCGAGAGGATCAAAGATTCTCGCAGCCTCTGACAGAATAGCTCGCTTGGTTACTCGGGTGGTGAGTGGGTCGTTCAACTCAACAAACAATTGGTCTGGCACCGGCTCCCACCGCAGACCGAGCGTACGAGGATCTTCTTGGGTTGGGGGCCCATGATTATGGACTCACCCGTGGCACTCTTCACAACCGAGGGCTCATTGGACGCCCATTTCCGTAAGTTGAATCCTGCTGTCCGTAAGAGAGCCTGTAGATCCCTTTTGAGCACGATTGCCTCTTCTACGGTGTCTGCGCCCAAGAGGTCATCCACGTAAAAGTCACGGAGGATAGACGTGCTAGCCGCTGGATGGCTCGCGGTGTTGTCCAACCCCACCTGCCGCAACACCAAGGTAGCCAAATACGGAGCTGAGGTAAGTGACCGTGTTCAATTTGTATGTCTCAATCGGATCTTGGGGGGCCTCCCTCCACAATATGCGTTGCAGAAACCGCTGATGAGGAGCGACTAGGACCTGTCTGTACATTTTTTCGATATCTGCGCTCAGGACCACCCGATACATTCGAAATCGAATCAGAATCGACAAGAGGTCCTCCTGGATTGGCGGTCCGACCTGCTGCAGGTCGTTGAGGGAGATTCCCGTCGAGGATTTTGCCGAGCCATCGAATACCACCCGAAGTTTAGTGGTGGTACTGCTTGTTTTGAGCACCGGATGGTGCGGCAGGTAGAAGGTAGGTTCGGTGGATGCCCGAATAGTTCTTGACCTTGGCCATATGACCCAAGGCTATGTATTCTCTCATAAATTGCACGTACCGGTCGCGCAGCTCAGGCGCATTCGTGAGTCTCCGCTCCAGTGCGCAAAATCTTTTTTCCGCCATCGCGCGCGACTCTCCCAATTCACGCACGTCCCTCGCGAACGGAATGGTAACCACGTATTGACCAATCGGCTCCCTTCCCACCATTTCCAGGAACCGGCTCTCGCAAAGGTGAGATGCCATCTCCTCAGTCGACACACCGTCTAACTCTCAGTGACAGCTGACGACTCAGCTGTTCGTTTGTCACGACGTTGCATACTACAAATTCCATGCGTGATACGTTGGACAAGCGTCCGCCGAATACCCACCCTAGCTGCGTTTTTAAGAGGTTTGGAAGCCCCTTCCCCTGCCTGATCCGTCCCACGGACATGATATCGCACAACCGGCCATTGCCAATTATGAGATCCACCTCGCCAGGAACACCAAACTGGGGATCCGCCAGAGGGATCTGCGACGGAACGTGAATCGCGGATTCTGGGATCCGATGGCGGGTATGTCGCCGGTGATTGCATCCGGCTCGAAGGACCAATGGTTTTGTCGTGGTGTTGACGTTGGTCGTATTCGGCCTACTCCATCGGACGATGGCTTTTTTGGAACTTGTGTCCCAACTCAATTTGTCTGTGACCGTATCCGAAGATCGGAGTACGGTTTACAATGTGTTACTGCCCGAAGACGTAATCGGTAGTGAGTGCTAGCCAGGAAGAAAGTCGCTCAGATGGATTCTCTTCCTGGCTGATTGGGAGTGTCCCAATTATGAGTGGGGAAAATATCGGTGCCGCAATTGGGGCACCGATATCACCCGATACGCAATGTAAGTCCAGGACGGGCGGGCAGGTGTTTGGATCCAGAACATTCGACGGTCGAGGCGAACCTCAGCTATTTTTGCTCGGATTACCGACGCCTCACCGCGCGGTCGCCGGGGAAGAACCCGTGACCGAAACCTTCAGGACTGTTCTGTTTATAGATCGCGACAATGCTCGCGACCAGATATATTATAAGTTATCAATAATAATTAATTTATATCTTTTATCAATTTTTTTTGCATCTGTTTTTTCTTGTTTCAAACATTGATTATTTCAAACATTAAATTTTTAATTTTAATTTATAAGATACGCGAAAGAGATATTCAAAAAATTTTATGTTTACAAACATTATATCCATCTCTATCCGAATAGATCTTTTCTGCAAAAAATTGATGAAATTTATTTTAAAAATTGTTACATTACATATCCAAGTCATACATCAGAAAATAAAATCCTGGTGAATTTTCTTGATATTTTTTGTATATGTTAGAATTAAATAATTCTGTTTTTTCAATATATATTATTATATATATGTTATATAATATGCATTATTACATATGTCAATTATATTTGAATCAGAATATACTATTTTTTTCATTTCAAAAAAATTAAAATGAATGAAAGCTTTTCAATAATATTTAATAATATTCAGATAAATTTTTAACTCTCTTTTTTTTATACTTTCCATTAATATTAATTTTCTTTACTAAAAATTGATGATTATTTTGTATTTTTCTTAGTTTCTGTTATACTTATTGTCATATTTATTGTTATATTTATATTATAATTGTATTTTTATGTTTTAAAATTTTTTCCTATTATCATTTTTAATGCAAAATTTCATTGCAAAATTTACGAATCATTATTACATTGTTTAAGCCAAAGCTTTTAAATTCTCGAATTATGCATTGTGAAATTATTGTTCTTTCTTTTTTCTAGAAGAGAAGAAGAAAACATGTAGCTTTCACTATTATTTATAAAATATCCATTATTATAATATATATATATTCTAAATAATTCTTTAAATTCTTTAATACAAAAATAAATATAATAAAAATAAATTTGTTTTATTTGAATCTCCATTTTTTCGTTTTAAAATTGCAAATTCATAGAAATAATAAAATTAAAAAAATTTCGATATAATAAGACTATAAACTTTATACAGAAATTTCAACAAAATGATGGATGCTTCAGACTGGCCAAAACTGTCGTTTCCTGTCATGTGATGTACTTCTAATTTAGCAGTAGGGATGTAATATCAAGATTCTTTTCATGCGGAAATTCATTGAAGAAGAATTGAGGGTTACTAGTTTTAATTGTAAAGAAAGTAGCATATCCGATATGTCCATCCTGCAAATTTAACAATTGAATATTAATATATAATTATATCTAATACAATAACAGGTATAGTCAGTAGATAATCTAAAACATGAATTTCGATATTGTCAAGATCAAATACTTTATTTGCAATGGTTTTGATAATATGATACGATACGTGAATGCACAAAAAATGGATACTTTTTACAAATAGAAGATCTTTACAATTAGTATTTTTTTACTTTACAGTAATATCGTTATAATTATTACAATTTATGTGTATATGTATGTGCTGTAGTATAAGGTTTCTGAATTTATGTAAATATGATTTATTGTGAAATTTAATAAATTATTAAAAGAAATGTGGATTTAGGTGCTGGTGTTATTTCTATGGCCAATTCAGGACCAAATAGTAATGGATCACAATTTTTCATTACATTAGCACCTACACAATGGCTTGATGGAAAACATACAATTTTTGGTAAGTTAAATTTTATCTGTTCAGAGATACATTATATATTTTACATATACATCTCACAGTATGAATTGAAAATACACAATATATCTTATTCAAATCATCTTCAATTTAAATAATAAACAACTTTTTTTTTTATATAAATTTTTAGAATCATTATTTTTGATCCCTGATATAAATTAAAGCCTAATTTTTAATGATAATAATAATAAATAAATTTATCAAAAATTTTTTTTACAAACTTGCATTTTTTTTTTTTTCTGTAGGTAGAGTTCATTCTGGTATGGCAATAGTAAAAAGAATTGGATTGGTGGAAACTGATAAAAATGACAGACCCGTGGATGATATAAAAATTGTTAAAGGTTCCATAAGGAATGCATAACGAAATAAATATCTTCTTGGTAATTTATATTTAGTATCCTTTAAATTTTTTATAAAAAAAATCACAACATAACAAATGCAAAAAAAAATATAAAATATAATTTACAATATAATTTTTTTAATAAAAATTTAAAAATTCATTTTTCGTATTAATAATAATAAACTTATTTAAGAAAAAAAAATAAATATCATTAAAAATATATGATATGTATATAT